TCAAATGTAGGTGAAGAGAAATACTTAACTTTTTTTGAATATTGAAATAAAGTTCTTTGAAGTGCTAAGTGCTTGGTTAAGGCCGATAACATAATTAGTAATTTGTCACTTGTGAAAATACATGTCCTGAACAGAAATGAAAATTTTCACATGATTTCAAACAATCTTCTCTTGTTGATTTAATTTTTTTTCTTATTTTATATCAAAATTGATTTCACATAGGCTCACTATTTTCTTTACTTTCTTTTTCTAGGCTCAACAGCTAATTCCTGTGAAAACAAGCTTTTCATTGGTCCAAAAAAGTTTCATATAGGCTCATGAATTTCTTTCCATCTTTTTCCCTAGCTCACCCGAATTTAAAGGGAGTGGGTAAAAGGAGCTATTATTATTTTGTACTCACCACAGGCTACTCTTTCTGATTGGCATTATAGATTAGCTAACTTTTATGTGTGGTATCATAGACAATCTTTTATGAATGATATCACATGCTAACCATTATGAGTAGCATTATATTGTATCCTTTATAAGAAATATTTTCTGTTAACCATTATGTGTGGCATTATATATATTGTAACCTAGAAAAGGTTACTGAATGAGGAATAACCAAAATGGAGGTTGGAAATGAAATGGTAATCATTATAACATCAACAAAATACAATACTCGCCAGCAGCATGAAATAGGTAAACCACTGCCAATGGTGGGTTACTTAGACAGCATATTATCCCTACTTACAATAGTGTCCAATAAGGATTGGGACATACCCATTAGTGTTTATAGGTATGGTATTATATAACAATATATTAATTTGATGAGTGGTATTATATATTAGTCTATATATGTGTGGTGTTGCATACTACACATTTTGTGTGGCATTATATACTTGCCATGATGAGTGACCTTATATACTGAGCTTGATAATTAACATTATATACTAATCCTTCTGAGTAAGATTATATGCTAATCTTTATGAGTAGTATTATTATGATTTGTATTTAAATTAATCTTGCTTAGTTGTGTTAGTATTATATGCTGATCTTTATTAGTGGCATTATATACTGATTGCTATAAGTAACAATTATAAGTGACATTATAGACTAACTTTTATGTGTAACATTATATACAAACCTTTACAAGTGGTACTGCATACTATGTTTTGTGAGTGTTATTATATGCTCACTTTTATCAGTGGTATTATATGCCACCCATTATCAGTGGCATTATTTACTAACCTTTATAAGTGTCATTATATACTTGTTGCAAAACTGAATCTACCCACAACAAGGAAAAAGGCAAAAAAGGTGTTTAAACTTAAAAATATAAGATATTTTTATTTTCATGTTTTTTACATCTAAATTTTTCTTAGCATGTGTCAGTGTTAAAGTTTTATATTTGTCAAGATACAGTCTTTCCTTGTAGTCATTTTTCAAGATGAAAAGAAATAAGAAATGAATGTGATTTCTTTGCATGTATAGCTAAAAAGAAGTGAGGGAGTAAGTGAGAAGGAAAGTGTAAATGTCAGTTAGCTTGGTGAGGGAGATAGGTAATGTATGTGGGAATTTTGTTTAAGGCAAAAATGTTGCTGTCTGCTGCTGGTTGCCTCTTCTTCTGGTTTGTCAGTAAACTTTGCTTAAATACCCTTCAAAAGGATCACAAAGCATATTTTTTATTGTTGTTGAGAACACAGCTCATTGGTTGAAAAATGTTAAATATTTATTTTTGAAACATAAATTTTTTAACTGGAACGTGTAATCCTCCAACTCAGACCATTTGTTTTGTGATTTGGTGCTTGACTGCTTGGGTGTTTATTTGCATCTTCACACCACATACTGACCTTTATGAGTCACATTATACATTAACCATTAAGTGTTGCATTATATACTAATCATTATGAGTGGCATTGTATACTAACCTTTATGGGTGGTATTATATGCTAATCATTATAACTGGTTTTATATAGTAACCATTATGTGGCATTATATGCTTATCACTATTAGAGTCATTATGTACTAACCTTTATGAGCGTCATTATATACTAACCTTTGTGGGAGGTATTATATGCTAATGATTATGAGTTGTATTATATAACCTTTATATGATATTACATACTAATCAGTTTGAGAGTGCCGTTATATATCGGATTGGTCAAAAAGTTTGTTTGGTTTGTTAATAAAATTTTCTACTTGATTCGAACAAACTTTTTGGACAAATAAGTACGAATCTCAATGAGTAGCATTATATGCTAGCCTCTATGAGTGGTATATAATATTATATTATAGGAGTGGTGTGCTACACCCTGTTTTAAAAAAATTATCAAAAATCAGGTTATTATCTAATTTAAGTAAATTTTCAGTACTTATTCAGTAATGAATACATTTTACATTGAATATGTCATTAATTTAGAAACCTTTGTGGAAATATTTTTGGTGAGTAAATTTCACCTTCATTTTGGCATATTGTGAACATTTTTTTTTTTAAGTTTGGGGGTGTTCACTTAATTTTTTAGTTATATAAAGAAAAATCACTGAAAATGTTGTTTCAGTAAAAAAAAAAAAAAAAAAAGGTTCTTTTCTGTTAATTCACACCAAAATAAAAAAAAAATTATATTTACTAAAATTTACACCAAATTCTCCCAGAGTGAGTCCCTTCCATTGCACTCCATTTGGGTTAACCTTTGTGATATGTGGACGACTCAGGTGCACTATGCCTAAGTGTGGGGGTCTATGTTTGCACTCACCCTGATAAACAAGCCCCTAACAAAAACAGATTTTTTCTTTTTTTTTAAATTGTAAAAAATCCATTTAAGTATCTCAAATATCATCTGCACTTACAAAGTTCATTAATGTTTGGTAATTTTTTATTCTGAGGGTGTTGTTGTGAGTCAAGCTAAAAAAAACTTTGACTCAAAATTTATAATATCAAAACTAAAAAGCGTGCCAAAAAAATTTAATAAAAAAACAATCAAACTTTGATTTAAAGTTTATAATTTTGGGGGATGAATTAATATTTGTGATAAATAATTTTACATTATTTGGGGGTGAATTAACAGAAAAGATCACCAAAATACATTAAGTAGATAATTTATTTATTTTTTTGCAATATCAACAATACCAGCTTCTAGCACTTTTTACAACTCTATGTATTTAATGCCGTTTTACGCGCCTTTTTTTTTTTAAAGTGGGGTTGACAGTAGAAGACTATTGAGTTGACCTACACGGATTACTGTGTGTATAAACACTAAACAGTATTTTCACTGTTTTAACTTTTAAACAAAAAGTAAACATTACTTCTACAAAATACTGTTAATCATTAAATTTCCTAATATACTTTGAAACAAATCTCTAAGACAAATATTTGATTTTTTAAAATTTATTGTTTTCATTTTTTTCATGAATAATGAAGTTTGAAGAATCGAGTGGCCTTGCCAATGTTTTAGTTTATTTTTTTTAACAATGTCTAAAAACCTTCATATTTTCATATTTTACAGATCTAGGTTTAAAGACCATTATCTTTCAAATAAAACCGAAATTTAACAGTAACATTAAAAAGACATTTAAAATTAATTCATTTATTATTTAAAATGCGTTTTTTATTTCATTGTTTTTTAGTAATTGTGGCGATACACAGGTAAAAAAAAGCTATATCAGTTCTTTGATAGACTACTCTACTAAACTTCAATAGAATGTTGCATTAAGTTACCATCGCTAGTGAATGAGGTTCATGAAAAAATACGATGATATTAGTTATTTCATCGTATATATGAATCTTGGCAAGCCGTCAAGAAAATCTAGGTAAAGAATCGAGAACGACTAAACTCGATATGACGTATCCCTACCGGTAACATGCTTTGGAAAAATAAACTGTCACCAACATAATTCATTATTGCATCAATGTCGTCATAATCGTTTTCGTGAACACTACTATATTTACTTACAATTTTGCATAAATTTTACATATAAAAGCTAAAGCATTAGGTAATTTTCGCACATTCATACTTCTTTTGCTAGTTAATTGTCCTTTAACTTTTTTATCTTTTTCCTGGGGCAGCGTTTTCTTATCTCATTGGCTTCACTGCCATTTTTACAATTACCATTTTTAGATGCAATTAAAAAAACTAATCAACACTTTCCAGAAATAAATTTAGATTAGTAACTAGTAGCTGTAAACTTTATTTTGGTTTGCCTTAATTAAATCCTTTGGTAATTTTCTTCTTTTGATGTTTTTTTTTTTTTCAAAGTTTCGTTCCAAGTTAAAGAAGAAGCACGATACACTTCTTCTCGGAAAATACTTCCAGAAATAGATAAAAAAAACAGGACATTTACCGAAAATCAGAATTCTTTCACTTTAAAAATGTTTTAATTTCGCTTTTTTTTCTTTTTTAATCGAAGCTCATCTATTTTTAAACTGAAGTTATGATTTTGTTTGAATATTGTCATTGACATTTAATTAAGTAATTTTTTGAATGCAAATATTCACACTGAAATACCTACGTGAAAAAATGTTTTCAAAAAGGCTTGTCAAATTACGTAATTATTTTGATTTCATTTTCGTATAAAAAATTATTAACAAATTTAAAAATTTGTAACAGCGTTTCAAACGTATGGTTACTTATTTGTTGCTACATATGTAACACTCGGATGAATTTTTAGTATCATTCTTTACCGAAGGAAATACTAAAAATACAAATTAATTAAGCTTTATCTCTGTTCGTTCGTCTCTACATTCATAAAGATTTAATTTTTCATTTTTTTTTTATTAGTTAATTTGTTTGTTTCTTTTTTTTGGTTTCTTTTTTTTGTTTCTTTTTTTTTTCTATCGGTTTCCCTCTCTCTTAGACTCCTACCCTCTTTTCTGTCACTCCTCCTGCTACTATACTCCCGAAATATATAAAGATAGTGAAGCGAAGGGGGGCATTAATAGAAAAGCGCCAAAATCATTAATGCCGGGTTCTTTAAAGTTTAAAGATAAATCTCAGTCAAGCAGCGCATCTGATATTCAAAACATGCCGAATATCAAAGTGTTTAGTGGGACCTCTCATCCAGAATTGACCAGAAAGATCTGTGATCGTCTGGGTATCGACAAAGGAAAGGTTGTCACAACAAAATTCAGCAATGGAGAGACTTGGTAAGAATAATGACTTTAAAAAATGTTACATATAAAAAGTAAAAACCAATTAACTTCGTAAGGTTTCACTTCAGAGTTTGTTTTTTTTTTTATTACGAATTTTCTTTCTTTCGCTTACGTTTATCGTCTTCTTGTATATCTGTCCTTTTTATACCATTAAAAGTTTCTTGTGAATTGTCTATCTGATTTTGATTTTTGATAGATCATAATTTAATTTAGAGTACATATTGTCACAAAATCATGAAGGTACTAACCTAAAAATCCATTTTCTGCTGAGCTCTTGATGTTAAACAGTTGGTTGAAATTGACATTGTGTATATTTCGTGGGTGGGGAAACTAAGTGATCATTTATAAAGTTTACTTATAAAATTACTTAAATAATCAATTCATGTCAACAGTTAGTGGGATTATTTTGTTTTTAATGAAAATAACTTGTTGACAAGTAATTTTAAGCCTAAACAATAGTTTTTTTTTTTTTTTTGTTTTTAATTTCCCCCACTGCAATCTTTTTTTTTTTTTTTTTTTTTTTTTAAACCAGTGCTTGAAAAATACGGAGTTTTGTAACAATGATTTTCTTGTTTATTGTGAATTGCTAATTCAATAAAAGTAAAACTAATTTACATTTTAGATTTTACAGGAAAATATTTTTCATCAGGAGCCTTTTAGTTAAATTTCTTTTCTTTCTTTTTTTTTTTTTTTTTTTTTTTTTTTTTTTTAGCTTGTTAATTGTTTAAAGTTCCAAAAGACTTAAAAAATGACATTTAAAAGAAAAATAATTTTGTCTCCTGCCATCCACGTGGTTATGTAGGTCGCAATTTCATTTAAGGAGTAAAAAAAGAACGAAAATGACATTTCGAAAGCTAAATATTTATAACTTCTTGCTACGAACTTAAAATATATGCAGCATTATTATTTTTATATATATTTTGTTTTTCAATGTTAATGTATTCATGCATACATTGTCTTTGTGTGTAAGGCAATGTTGAATGTAGGTGTTCCACGCGTACACGGGACTACCACATAAACTAAACATAACCTTGTATCCTATTTTACTGGGTGTTTGTTATGGAGAGCTATTTTCTTAATCAAATGCTACTTTTTTTTTTTTTTTTTTTTTTTTTTTTTTTTTTCTGACACGTGGTTAAATTTGTTAAGCTATGTTCATAGAGATTTTTTTTTCTTAGCCAACGATACCAATGTTATGTTTACTGATTTCATATTTATTTAAATTATATAATGAGAGAGAGAGATCTCTAGTTTTTTTTTTTTTTTTTAAACTGAAATAAAAAATTCTCACTTGTAGATTTATTTTTTGTTCTGTTTCATATTTCTTTTTAGCAATCTTTACGAATTAAGAATATTGAAGCTAATTTTCTTTTAAGGTTTTTTTTTTTTTTTTTTTTTAAATTAAAATCTTTATTGTATAAGAAATTAGAGCGGGAAACTGAACCCTGACTTAAGTGCTCCTCAATTCGCCGTTTTAGTGTTGACATATTTTTTATAGAAACTTTATTTTTTTTATATATTTATTTATTTTAGTACTGCTACTCTTTTACAGTTATGCATGCTTTTGAAGCCGATCGTGCAATGGGTACTCTAATACTCCTATAAACCTTTTCGTGAGTTTTCCTTTAAGGGATATGAAGCAGAAACGCACGTGCGTATCAAAATATGGGCACATTCGCTTTCGGCTTTTACTCCCTCGTTTCTTTTACTAAGTAAATACTTATGTATTGCCTGTAACTTCAGAAACGACTTTTTTTTTTCTGTAATATATTTAAAAAAAAAAAAATAAAAAAGTTGGGATGTCTGTACGTCAAATGTACTACTTGGGAACATTCCTCACCTCCAATATCCTATTCGATTTATTTACACCATAAAAATATACGTGTTTCTTGTTTTAACACTTTAAAAAAAATGTATTTTTTTTATTCTTGATCGCGTAAATTATCAACCAAAATCTTGCACATTTAGTAGAACTGGAACTATAGTAGTAACAAAGAGCAAAAAATAAAATATGCTACAATTACAATACTTCTCCATGGGGGCTGTTAAAAATCAAGCATGACCTATTGTTCGTTCACCTTGTATAATGTAAGTAAAAAGTTAAAAACAAATTGTAAAATGATTTTTTTTTTTATGACCCCCCCCCCTTTCACCAAGAAAATGTTTAACTTTGACTGACATAATTGATAAAATTGGCCTGTTGGCATATTTAGTTTCGCGGAAAAATTATTTTAAAATTCTCTACCCAAATATTTAACATCTTTCCAGACCAATTTAAGCAAGGCAATTGGGGGAAAAATGTATCGTAAAAATAAATGCAATTCCGATTGAAACATTAGGAAGAGCTGGTAAAATGAACCAAATTTCAAAATGTTCTACTAGAAAATTTCTTTACTAAAAGGCCTTGACAATATGGAATGTGAATAAATGAATTTTATTTTTATTAAGTTGCGTAATTGCTGTTCTGGAAGCTTTCCTTGACCGATGACATTCCTTTTACCCTCACTCTTAATGCGCAAAACTGCTTGACGTTCAAAAGTTGCTAAAAATAAATTTAATCTCTATACTTTTTTCTGCATATTGCCTATAGAATATAGAGAAATATCCAAATATGGAAAATAAAATAAATGGATCTTTAATAAATAGTAAGTTATCAGTGTTCTGCAGTAAAGAATTTGGTGGTTACAACATTCTTACAGACGTTATGAGTACACGTGTTTGCGTTGACGTCTGTAGTTTTTCTTAAACGTCGAAATTCCATCTGTTTAGATAGTAAAGAACTTGAACACTTGTACCCAATGAAACTTTTTCTTTTTTTTTCATATATTAAATAATTTTTGCTTAAAATTGCATTTAATTATATTTTCTATTATGTGGACAAAGAAATAGCTTCGTAAATGTCGGACAGAACACCTTCTTTTTCTGTAAATCTGTCTGCAACAGATTGCATAACAATAAAAAAATTTTAAAAAAAAATTGATCCAATGAACAGCAAAAAGGAAATATGCATCAAAAGGTTGATCTTAGCTTTTTAAAAATTAAAAAGGGAAATATTTAAAAAAATATATAATTACATAGTGTAAATTTAAAGGGAATTGTTATGAATCTTTGATTATAAAAGATGACTAACAATTCACTTGTGATCCTACTTTTGAACAGAAATTATTAAATAAGTCAGCATAATTTCAGCTGTAAATGTTTCTATTAACCCTTTTGACAAGTAATTTCAATGACTTCAAATATTTGATTGTCACATGGATTTACTTTCGATTATGTTATGGAGATCAATCCCTCTCATAAAACTGATTAAATTTCAACTGTCAAGATAAAAGTAAAAATCCTGTTTCCAAAATCATTCTACCAATTTTCTATAAATAAGACAGCAGCTTTGGAAACACTTCCTATTACTTGCAGTTTTTAGTTTTCACTGACATCTAACTTTTTATCTATAAAATTAAACCAGAAAAATTATACAGATTGTATTATAATACAATCATTTTCTCCTTTCTATTTATTTTTTATTTATGTAATAACAATTCTAATTAACTTTTAAGTTTAACAAAGATATCTTTGAAACTATTAAATATAGTTGTTGCTACAGGTTTTTCATTGATTTTTGTCTATATTCTGTTGCAAGTTGATATATAAAACTACATTTATCTATTTTTCTCTATTTGTCGTCTAATTTAAAGAATTGAAATTCTAACTTTTTGTGTGTTTATTTTCCATTTTCCAGTGTTGAAATTGGAGAATCAGTACGTGGAGAAGATGTTTACATTGTACAAAGTGGCTGCTGTGAAGTGAACGACATGTTGATGGAATTACTCATTATGATTAATGCTTGCAAGATTGCATCTGCCTGTAGAGTTACTGCAGTCATACCTTGCTTTCCTTATGCTCGTCAAGATAAAAAAGACAAGGTAAATGTAAAATAAAATGGAATCAAAGGAAACTACTTAACATATACATGTAACAAATCTTCATTTTATATTTTCTAATAATTAAAGGAAATCTCATTTGGTAAAGCAAACTGATCATACTTAACCAGTCATATCAGTCATTCTTAAGTTTATTATTGTTTGGGAATATTGCAATACACTGCCCTCTGCCCAGTAATGCTATGTCAGTACTGCACTGACTGCATCCATATCTATAGAACCGAGTCTACCCCCATTGTGCTAAATGGCCATTTACCTTATAAGATGGTTAATGTTTAAATTAGTTTGTTCATGTAAATCTGCATTAAATAGTAAATATTTTAAATTGCTTGTATTATCAAAGATTCCCTTGCCAGAAATAATTGTGAAACTTTAAATATGGACAAGTATGTTAATGATCTTATACTTTTATTTTTCTTTCCTTTAGAGTAGAGCCCCCATCTCTGCCAAATTAGTTGCCAACATGCTGTCTGTGGCAGGAGCTGACCACATCATCACTATGGATTTGCATGCTTCACAAATTCAAGTAAGTTTTTGCAAGTTTAAACTTTTTACCAGATCTATTTGTCTCTGTGTCTCCTCTCTCTAACTCTCCATGCAAGATGAAAAAGAATATCTAATATTTACAAATTTAACATGTTTTGCTTTTTATTTAAGCTTCATCAGAAAATGAAATGTTAAAAGAAAATTCTTGGATTTTTTTTTTTTTTTTTTTTTTTTTTTTTTTTCTCATTTAACAAATGAGAAACAAGCTCAAATAAAATAGAAGAATTTTCTTCTTTCATCCATATTTCATTTTCTGATGAAACTTAAATAAAAATGAAACATGTTAAATTTGTTTTCTATTTGTTCCTTATCCTATCATAAAACAGTACAAAATTTCTTGCCTTACAAATTTTATAAATATAATTGTTAAATGGAATCTTTTTTTTTTTTTTTTTTTTTTTTTTTTTCTTCTTGTCTCTAGGATTTTTTTGATATACCTGTAGATAATCTATATGCAGAACCAGCTGTCTTAAAATGGATCAAAAGTAACATTCCTGAATGGAGGAACTGTACCATTGTTTCTCCAGATGCAGGTGGTGCCAAAAGGTGAGCAATCAATAAAAAATTGTTTAATTTCAAATAAATTGTATAAATGTAAATATAAGTACTAAAATTTTTTTCACTGCTAAAGTGAGAATATAAATAAAATATTTCAACTTTGTTTTTTCTCAGCAAAATTTAAGTAAAAAAAAAAAAATTATGAAGATGAACAAGTCAAACTTGAAGGACAGTTTGACTTTTTAATGCTCTATTGGATTGATGGGGAAATTTCAAATTGGAGTGAAAAATTTATTTACTTCCTGATATAACAAATGCATTTCATTTTTCTTTTTCTTTCTCAGAGTGACATCTATAGCAGATTGGTTAAATGTGGATTTTGCTTTAATTCACAAAGAAAGGAAGAAAGCTAATGAAGTTGCTTCTATGGTTCTTGTTGGTGATGTAAAAGACAAAATTGCAATTTTAGTTGATGACATGGCTGACACATGTGGTACTGTGTGTCATGCTGCTGGCAAGTAAGTAGATGAAAACTTATTCATTTTAAGTTTACTTTTACAGAAATAACTTTTATTCTGGAAACATATAATTTAATTTAGAAGATGAAACAAACAATATTAAAATCTTTATTTCCCTTTTTAAGAGTAATCTAATGACTCTGTAATTACTTGTGCGTACATAACTAGTTTGTTTTTATAATCTATATTTATATTTCTCAATGTGCGTGATTGGATATTTATGCATTTCCAGTTTTCATCTGACTTCGATGAAATCTTTTTTTGTTTGATAGAAAATTCTTCAGTGCCAGTTTGAGTGACAATGGCTCTAAACTACTTCCTGTCCAAGCAAGGTGGGAGTGCCACTAGCATGCAAGAGTAAAGAGGCATGATAGAGGAAAGGAGGAAGAGAAGGATGGGGAATAGATTGAGGCATCTGGAGATGTCGATTGACATTGCATTTGAGTAGTTGGAGATTATAGCTATCAGGGAAGTAAGAAGGGAGTCCCACTGTCAGGAAGTGCAAGACATAAAGCTATTGAAGTAGAAGTGATGGCACATCTGTGAGTGACTGTAAATGGGATACCAGATCAGGGCCCATCACATTGCATATCCATCTCTGGATTTTGTCGAGGATCTTAAGACAAACAGTGGGGGCTCCAGACCATATATGGCAGCATTATTCCATGCAAGGGTGGTCAATTTAGATTTGAAGAATGGACTTGGGCCAGAAAAAAAATTTGGCACAACACAGAGAACCAACTTTCCTTGTGGTAGATGAAGCTATAGATTCAATGTATTTGTTCTATCTCTGGTCAGTGTACAGTGTGAGACCAAGCAGTCACAGACAGGTGCTCTCATGGAGTTGAGCATCAGACATTCTAATGGGAGTTACGGAGGGTTCTCTGTGGTGGGTAAAATAACAGATGGGAGGTCCTTTTCAAGACCAAAATCCAGGTTAGTTTTGTCAGCAATACCGGATTTGCTATTGAGGCAGGAGTAAATGGTAGTGTTGTTTGCATAGATGCCTACTTGGGAACTGATATCGCAAAGATTGATAATGAAGATTAGAAACGGTGTCGGGCCCAGGATGTATCTTATGCTCCAAAACAGCTTAGGAATTAAAGCCATTATCATTCCTTCCATAAACATATATAAAGGTGAGACCTATTTGAACAAATGAATGTCTTTGAACACAATGATAGAAATGACATAACCAGTGTCGTCACTTTTCTGAATTTGAGCTACCTGCTTATCGTGTACTTCCAACACTGACATTTTCACTATAATCATGTTTCCTTTTCTTTGTTCAGGTTCAACTTGTATGCAAATTAATCAGTTTTGATTCTTTCTTTTTTAAGGCTGCTTGAAGCTGGTGCATTGAAGGTATATGCAATCTGCACTCATGGTATCTTTTCTGGTCCAGCCATTACAAGAATTAATGCTTCTCAATTTGAAGCTGTTGTTGTTACTAATACCATTCCTCAGGAGGAAAGAATGAAGCAGGCTACCAAAATTCAGGTATTATCTTTTTATATACCGATTTGTATCCCTTGTTATAGACTTTTAGTAATTTTTTTCTTTATTTTTTGCACTTCTAGGAGTATAGTGGTGTTTGTTTTTTGTGTGTGAAGGGGATGCATTTTCAGTGACATATGCAGGCAAAAAGTTTTTTTTTTTTTTTTTTTTTTTCTGGAAGGGGTTAAAATTAATGCAAAAATATTCAGGGGTTGTAATATACATGAAATCAGTTTAACTTGTACATAAATATATACAGTAATCCTGAAACAAAATTTTAATTCTATTATAGTTCTGATTACTACTCCCATTTTGTTTTAGGATAAAATAGCTTAATTATTAGATGCATATCTGACTTTTGCTCCACAAAAGGCGTTGTTGTAATAGATTGAGGAATTTGAGAGTAGTTTGAATTCCAGTTAAGTTCATTGCATTCACTTGTGTGCTAATAACCTATGGGGGAAATAACAGTATAGACTGGGTTCTATAGGCTTGGGTGGTGACCAGTCTAGAAAAGAGCATTCTGTAATTAAAACTGTATATAGTCCCGTACATATAATCTCATTGTACATTTTTCTGTTCAAATGATTTTATTTTAAGCAGAATCTTTTTTTCAGTAACAAAATTGAAAATTGTATTGCCTACTCTCCTCCTGTCTCTTTCTCTCTCCATTTTGCAAATAAATTATAATTTTACCAAAAAGTTAGTAACAATTCTGTAGCTTCTGTTGATATAATCAATGTCTTAAAGAAATTTTGTTACAAGAAACTTGCATCATAATTTATTACATCTTCAAACATTAGAAGAAAAGAACTTTGATCTCCTTTCCAATTAACAGATAATTTTATCAATTTTTGTACCTTTTTAATACTATGCTAATTGAAGGTGCTTGTGTCCATTATATGATTTATCTAATATTACAGTAGTTTGCAACAGTATTTTCACTTTTTAGAGAAATGATAAGCCTGTGTTTAGCTTCTCCCACTCACTCACCTTTTCTCTTTCAGTTTCAGAGATCACATGATCATAAATAAAGTTGCTGTGACTTGAAAGGTCTTAAAATAATGACTTTTTCCTTTATTATATCAGGACAATATTTTCTTATTTTATTTGTCTTTGTAAAAACATGGTGGCTTGAATTACTACATAAAAAATATTTGAATCTAACAGAAATTTTATTTTCTTTGCAGTGCATCGATATATCAATGATTTTAGCAGAGGCTGTACGGCGCACTCACAATGGAGAATCTGTATCTTACCTGTTTTCCAATGTTCCCATGTAGATGATACCAGAAAATGATTGACAATTTCTTAATGCAGGTGGTTATTAAAGGAAATGCCAAAGACATATATAATCTGCATTTTGTTTGTGTTTAATTTTATGTTGACCCAACTGTATGAATTCATTTTTGTAAAAAAGAAAGACTTAAACTTTTTTTTTTTTTTTTTTTCCCTAGTTTTTACTCCTTTTAAGAAAAATAAAATTATTATACAAATATTTTCATTAACTTCTTGAATGAAGTTTCATGTTGCTTGTATTTCCATTGTACTCAAATATTTTCCAACAAAATATAATCATTGTTTATTGTGAAAGTTGTTCTCTTTATTAAAATAACCTGAAAGTCAATTTTAATGTAGATTCTTTTACAATCCTTATCATTTTCTACCAGAAATTTTTGTGTATAATATATTTATATTGCATTGGCATTTTGACACTTAACCTGCCTCCATGTATACCCTGCCATAATGACAGTGACTTTGACAAACAGTGAGACTTTAAGAGCTGATTATTTATGGGGCAAGGTTTTAAGTGTTTAATGCTAAAGGATTAAAACAAGGGCGTTAATCTCTTAGAAGAAAAATCTTTTTAGGGGGAATTTTTTTTAATATAATATTGGTCACATTTGAAGATCTTGTAAAATTATTTCATTAAATATAAATCTACCTCCTAAAACCAAACTACTAGAAAGCAAATTATTGCCAGCTCCCCTAAGGTATGTGAAGTTCCACAATAGTGAAAAATAGGGATACAACTTGATACTTTCATTGATAGATTTTCTGTAGTTATTTCAGTAAAGATTAGAGCAAATTGTTTCACAATAGCAATTTTAAAAAGTATTTTCTTTTCTCTAAAATTATTTTATTTACTTTACTCATTAAGATTTAACTATTTAATTTTCAAATTGTCTAATCACCTGGTAAGATGGCTCTTTGTATGATATTCTTCAGTTTCATGTAAATTTTTTTTTTTTTTTTTTTTTTTTGAAACCCTACAATGTAATTGTCTTGATGGGGTAGATGTCTCTAATTGATTTCAATGTATTTTAGCTATGCTTCTCTTTTTCTCTCTCCTGCCCCACCTTGCTCCAGTCATAACAAACTTATTTTGACACCTGTTTGTTTCTGAGAGCAGGTATTGTAACTACATTTATTGCCATATTCAGAATGTTTCATCCCTGGTATGCTCTGGCCTTCGCAAGATATTAGTGAAACATTAGGTTTATAAATCCCAAAAATTCACTTGTCTCCATGGATAAAGGAGTTGGTTGAGTGATCCAAAAGTGACTCGACCCAAAGAGTTGTGAGTTCAATACCTGGCCACAGTAGAGGGAACAAAAACTTGGAGAGTCGAGTTACTGAGGGAAATTAACTGAGTTACCCAAAGACATAGCAATAGAAAAATGTACCCCCTCCTCTTGTGGACTAAGTAGAGGGTTTGGTTTAAAATTCCAACAAATATCACCTGTAGAAGGCCTGAAACATGAATATGGTAATAAAGATGAGGGCAACAATGTAAATTTGTTTCTGATCTCTACTTTTAAAAGGGACACTGATATTTTAAATTGATTTAACAATAATGAAATGAAGATTCAAAATATTAACAAAAACTGAAAGGTTTTGGTTTATTGATTTATTTTTTATGTTCTGATGCTCATTATACAGAAGGGGAATTGATTCCTTTGCATGAAACTAGCTATGGGTTAAATAGCAAGGCAGACTGGTCTCTATGGTAGCCACCAGTCTAAAAGGAAAACAATTTCAAAACCAACCATGAGAGGGTTGGGTTGTCAAGCTATGTTGCCCTATGCATATTATGAGTTGCAGGATTTATGGCATGAATTCTGAAGATAGAAATTGTTTTGGAATTTACCATCTTGCATATTCCATTTTAATAAGAGTAATGAAAACATGGAAATTTTATATATCAAGCTCAAAAATTTATTACCATTCATTGGCTTGGATAGTTTTATTTTCAAAATTGCATTTTAATTTTCTATAAACGATTTTTTTTTTGTTTTTTTTTTTTTTTGCTTGAAAAAGAAACTACAATTACATTTTTATTCAATTATATATTCACCTGTATTTGGTAATTTGACAATTTTTCTGTAAAATTCCAATATTTTGAGTTGGAAAATGTTTTCAATAAACTCTTGAATCTGGTTTTCATTGAGAAAGTATTTATTTATTTATTTTTTTTCAAAGCATTTTCCAACAAGCAAAAAAGTTAATTGGTTGATGCAAGGCCAGGTGAATAAGACATGAGGGGGTAGAACAGTTAAAGTTTTTCTTGTATTATTTTTGCTGTAGGCAGACTTTTTGGGGGGCATGTTGCAGCTGCTACACAAGTACATTTAGTTTCATTGAGTTTTAAAAACTAAATGAATACTACATTGATCACACATTACTATCATTGTTAAATGGACAAAGTGCCAAGTGGAAAAAAAAGTAGGACTAAATCACGACAGGCCAAATATGTACCTACCTACAATAGAATACCTTTCACGTAGCATGCAAGCATCCTGCCAGTAAATAATTATTTGAAACTAATAAAAACCTCCAATGATAAAAGAAAAAAAAAACTTTCTACATTATTGATGTTTTTGAACAAGGTTCTGCATTCAAACTTCAATGAAGACTTGAAAATTTTATCTGAAAAATTACAATTTTGATAAAAATAAAATTTATGAGGAAATTCCATGTATCAAGATATAACTGAAGATTGTAAAGGATGGTGTTAAGGTATTCTAATTCAATACTGATGTTTTTTCTATCAAAAATACCTTTTAGTCTGTTGCGGAGTGATTTTGCAATGTAGGCTTGTATTGGTACTAAGTCAGTCCTAAAATAGGTTCGATGTACAAAACGTTAGGAACTTGATATAATAGGTATAACGCAGAGTAATCTAGTTGTGGTCGCTGATACTTTAGTATTCGACTAACTGTCATCCGGCATCGACACTATTTAGTAACTGCCCACGCAGTCACATGTGGCACAAGGCCGAATTTAATGTGGGGTTCTCGAGCCTGTAGGCTTGGCCAAAAAATCCCTGTAGACCCTGCATAAACGGGATTGGGTCTGTCTACCTCCCCGGATGAAACTCTGCCCTTCAGCATAGCCTTGTCCAGGTTCCTCTGTCCGAAGGCAGAGATTTCGACTGTCATCCAACATCAACTAACTGACCGACCCACTACTACTCCTACTTATTATAGGTGGGAGAGTCTATTAACTATAGAATAGGTGTGTTCCACCATAACATAATCTTTGCTTTCCAATTGTATATTTTTTGGTATTTTCTTGCTGACTTATACATTTACTTTAAAATTATTTTAGTGCTGACTTGCTCCAATCAAAAAAGTTTATCTTCTGTAGGGATGACAAATCATTAATTTTTTATGAAATCCATTATGCCAGCCTTCAATGGAGTTGTGTTCTTGGCAAATCATTTGCAATCCTTTCAAAAACTGACCGCAAGTCAATTTTAAACATTGTCTTCCTTTTCCCCTGTGAATGATACCTAATCTTTTAGCTTTAAAATATTGCAAAAATCCTCTTTTTTTTTCCAGTTTGACATTACCCATTACTATTCTCAGTTTTTGATATTTATCTGCAAGTCTACTGCTTTTTGCATTGAGCATTGTTGAATGTTAGTAGTATAATTTAATTCCAAATTTATTCTTAATTGCTATTTATGATTAGTTTTGACATATAATTGGTTACCAAAAATCAAAAAAAAAAATTTTTTTTTTTTTTTTAATCGGTGGCTTTACTGCCCTGGTGTAATAGTAAGACACGAGGTTACAGGGTGTGGAAGAATTAAGATCAGAGACAATAATAAGTGGGAAAAGGAAAAAGTAATCAGGATAGTAGATAGCAATTGACATTGCATTTAAATTTTTGAAGATTAAAGTTGGTTGGAAAGCATGGAGCCAGAAGGGAGTTTTGCAAGTGAGAAAAGAAACTTTTAGCATAGAATTTAAGGTTACATCTAGCTAGCTCAACTGTAAATTGAGATCATGATGTCAGTCTAGTACTGTGCTTAAATTCAAAATGTCTCAGTACTATAGCAAAGAGATCATCCAAACAATTACCATGAAAGTACTTCAAATTTTGTTGTTTACTTTTGTTTTGTTTTTCTTATCTCTCCTGATGGCCAGAGGGATGTGCAAATCATGTAATTATCTGTATAGAAATGGATAGCCAAGTTCAAATTCTCTTGCATTCACTTTTGTACTAATGCCTTTAGGAAAAGCATAAATAAATTCACAAATATTAAAGAGAATTCTGTGGAGAGCATGTTACAAAAGTTGTGTTTGAATATTGTATATCTTTGGAGATTTGCTTTCTCTTAGCAAATCCATAACTTCTTAAGCTCTGTTTTTTTTTTTTTTTTTTTTTTATCAGAGTACTTATAGCATTATCCATAGTGTTGGTGCTTAGTATATAGTTTACAAGTTTTAGTACTGGGTTCATATTTTTTACAACAGTTGTATGATATTTTTATCTTCAATTATTATTGATTTGGATTGTCAACATTTTCAGGCTTTGAATCTGTCTAATTGTTAAACTGGGGTTATTCACTGTTCATAAAATTTCTTTATGATTTTGTTTACCTTACTGGGCTCATTTCTCTTTCTTAATCCTTTACTATATTTTCTTTTTCCTCCTCATCACAAAGATCTCTATTATCATCAGTTGGCTTTTACTGAGTCATCTATGGTTGTTGCTTGAAACACTTCCTTCTTCATACTGTCAATAAGTACATTGATGTTAGGTTAAATTTCTCAAACCTGTATTTTAAAGATAGTGCAATCTCATGTCTTAAGAGTGTTTATGTAAAATATAATATAGTCTCCTTTTTATTCATTTGATGGTACTGTTATATTAGTGAGAAGTGAGCACATGTAAAGTTTATTTTTTTCTCTTTATTTTATCAATTTGCTCTCTTTATCTCTTCTGTTTTTTTATTTATCTTTTTTAAAAATATGTCCATAGAGTTCTTCTA